ACACACACACACACACACACACACACAACCTTCAACCCAGCAACCACAGTATACATATGTGTACATATCGTTGCTTATAATTGAATAGTTTCTTTCAGAAATCCGTCAAACGCCAAATTCCTCATTCCGCGAAAACTGAGAATAAGTGTCCAAATTTTTCAGATTTCAATTTCTTTTTTAAAGTTCATAAATGAATACTTTTTTCATATAAATATGCACTAAACGATGTATCTATATCCCACCATAATCAGTTGGTAATGTGTGTTTTATATTTTGGTGTTTGACGGGTATCTGAAATAAACGATTCAATTGACTACCTCATGACGGAATTTATGATTTTTACATTTTCGTATCATTGATTCAGAATTTGTTTCTTCATTAGTTTGATAAGAAAATATCCAAAGATAACTACGAATTGTACTCTTAAAATAGAAAATAAAAAAAACTATGTGACCGTCACAATTTATTGATAATAGAATGTCTCTTATGTGGTACGAGCCACATGGGAGGTTTTCGTAAGGTGCTTTCAGAAAACAAATATTACAATAAATATTTAATACTATTGTACAGAAAGTGGAGAATGCCTAAACTTCGACAACTGCACATTATTAACATCAAAAAGAGTTTTTTACTTCTTGTAAAATTTAGTTGTTTTTTTTCCACATAGGTTGTCTATCATCTAAGACGATATACAAGTAACCCTTACCAGACAAAATCTATAACTTTAATGTAGCAGTAGCAACGCCGCAAACGCGCAAGAAACCGGTACAATCTGCTGCACATGAAAAAGTTGCAAATTGAGCATATCTCTTTTCCCGGGAAGGCGCGTCCTAGGCACGGAGGCGTCTATCGAACAACCAAGACGACTTACAACTTTACTACATTTCAAGCCATTTTTGCGCTGTTTACGTTACCACGTTAAAATTCATCCTTGCGCTCACAGTTATGTAAGATCACACATTTCGAATCCGTCAAGTGAAAGAGTTTAATAAGGCTATGTACAACAAAAAGAAGACTTTTCGTTGCTGACTTTTCATAATATATACTACTGTTTTTTCATTTTCTTCTCTACGTACAATCTATTACAAAAATCTGTTCCTTTTTTATTTTTAAACAACGCGCGTATTTTTGTAGTAGTACATATTCGTTAGCAATGCAATTCTTCATAATATTTGCGAATTAAAAACCGCACTTCTACAATACTGACATTCCATAACTTATAACATGAAGGGTAAATATAAAGATTTAAAAGTCAGTTTCGAACAAAGGACAAACTAGGCCTTGTTTATATTTTAATTTTAGCACGAAAATGCCAGACTATCCCGATGCCCTCGAACAATACAAGACAACGCTGCACTCGCTAGTTACGTGACTGTCACGATTCCCAGAAGCGCGCGGGCTGATGGGCGGCTTCTGCGAATGCACTTTGTCTCGCCACGGGGGGCTGTGACACGGTAACGACCCGTGAGACATTGCCATCCCTCGAACCGACGATTACCTCGAAAAACCACAGGCCGTTACGTGCGTAATTCACGGTGAAAGGAGGGGACATTTCAATTTATAATTTGTGGTTCACAAACGGCCCTCGTAAGTGTGCGATGATGACTGGTTGCAAGGTGTGGTGACTTGGTGAACAGAGTATTTCCGTGTGCTTTACAGCGTTAATCGATCATATACTCGTTAGCCTTTTCTTAATTGTAGCAGTGAAATACTAGACACTAGTATTGAACACAATGCGTGTTAATCAACTGTTGACGGGGCGTTTATAAACTTTACGCCAATCACGATATTAACATTTCCTTTCCATGGTATTTACAAAAATTAAATTAATACCAATAACGATTTACTGTCTGATGTAATACACTATTGGAATGATGAAGCATAAAAGAGACATCTCGTATTATGAGAAGTATGAAGCGCATAAAGTGAGAATGAAAAAAGTCTTACCAATCAAAACCTATCCACATTGCTGATAATCAATATACAATATTAAAATGATCGGCATTTCCGTGGACATAAAGCAAGCAAGGGTTGACGTATGCATCTGACGTGTTTCATCACTATTCTGTGCGACCTGAAAGCACCTGTGACGTCGGGCCTACGCAGAACGAATTTTTGTGCGGGAACCCGTATGAGTTATTTTTGGAACGCACGGGCAAATCCAACACACTGGGGCAAAATATGATGTCCATTTTCACAGTTGGTAAATTACTCCTTACCTACATCAGGTGTGAAATTTCATTTGAACTGCAAATATTTTGTAATAAATTGGAAATTTGAAAGTTGCCGCATTCAATTCATAATACGCGAAACTGTCATAGTTTTATTAATTTTTATGTACATTTCGCATCTTCGTGTGGTAAATAGTCTACTATAACAACGTAATCCTTCGGAATTAAGTCTTGAGACCAGTATTTTCGTAAGAATACGCAGAAAATGTAAATTAGATAACCCCAGTTTCTAGATACCCTTGAATGATTTAAGAAAGAAATGTTCTTGATATTATGTCAAATGATACATTTCTTTTCAAGGTTATTTCGCCACGGAAATGGCAAGTTACAATCTTAAACTATACTATAATTCCATTGATATCTCTACCAATTGCAATTAAATGCTCGCTGCATGCTTAACCATCAAAGTGGGGGGGGGGGGAAACTATTTAGGTTATATCGTATTTCTGCTCAGAAGAAAAAACTAATAATTCTACGCACTTTGGCATACTATAACAACAAAAAGCTTTATCCCTGTTCTAGCAAACAATTTTCACATAATTAAAAATAATTTTAAAACATTTTCACACGAATGTACAGGTAACATGAATGGCCTACGCTATGCCCAACGAAATCCTTTTGTAAAATCACCACCTTTTTTCGACGAAATAAAGATCAAAAGAAACGTTGGCAGTTTACAAAAAAGGTGAAGCTGAAAAGAAAATCCCCCACATTTACAAACAACGTAGTGCTTCGGAACACGTTCTTACGAATGTCCAGATAACGCACATTTCCTGCCCCACATATGCAAGTTCTACGCTAACCGCAATGAGGTCTCCCGGCGCGACGCGAGGCGACACAGGAATTTCGTCATCGCATATCCCTTAGTGACGCGACAGAGTGAACAAGCGTCCGCGGCATCGACGTCTCTCATGATCTACTACGTAAAACAAAATATATTCCACTGACTATTCCACTCGTGAAATGAACAACGCGTCGTACTATAGAACTGACATGCACAAATCAAGACTGAACATTCCTCGAAAAAAAATCTAATTTTTTTTTTCAGCAACTCCCTCCTGGTCAATCGTAAGGTGTGATACATCAAGCACGGCATGTACTTTGCATGTACATATTTTATAATATTTGGCGCATTGTTAACTTTTTTGGTGGTAATTCGAGGAATAGTCTTATTGAATACCATTCGTGCAATTACAATATCTAGATTAATTCCCTCGGCGCTATGCTACTTGAAATTTCCAACACGCACGTGACATTACGCATGATATTTATATTTATTGAAATTACATTTTATTATCGAAAGGTTTTCAAAAATATTTCCAGTGTTATAAAAAATGGAATTAAAACTAGTCTGTAACAAGTCAAAATTATAAAAAGGACCATAATTTAGTATTTAATCAATTTAGAGATTTTTTGTTTCACCGAAAAACGAACTATGTGCACATAATCACATTTAGTATTTCCTCACAAAGCTATAAGTTATGTCAATATGGTAGCTATTTAGATTCACTCTCGAGTTAGTATTGTGTCTGTACTCGTCAACCACTTAGGTCACTAGCCCTGTAGTACAGGTTTCATCCCGCGAAATGGTGTTCCTCCTGCACTGGAACGTGAGATCCGGCGCCACTTAACACGGTTTCCCTCTGTCTCTCAGTACTCTCTGTTCCAGCCGGGATAAGCCCTTCGGGTCTCCCGACGTGTGGGTTAGTGTAGTGCATGCAAGGGGAAATTCTGTACGAGAAGAGGGAGGGGCAATGAATTATCCGCGCGTGGTCCGCTTGTCAATCGCTTGTCTTCGGCATTCACCAGCTACAGAAGGAATCACGAAAAAGTACCTCTCGGAGCAGCCGGCCGCTAGCACTCTTCTCCAAACAGCGGCTGAATTCGACCGACCTAGTATGTAGCTATCTTTGTGACACTCCTCGCACAAAAAATTACACACCCAGCAACACGTACGGGGGGGGGGGAGCGGCGCCCGCATTTCGCGTAATCTAGGCCAGTGCGGCTTCCCCCGCCGGCACGCGCCTTCGCTCGCTCGCGCGCGCGCGCTTATGTAAAAACGCGCGCGGACACGGCGGCGACGGCGAGATGCGCGACAGACGCACCTATCCGCTCCAGTAACACGCTCGCGTCGGATGAGAAACCCGCCAAGGAACGCTTTGGGGGGGGGAATGGAACTTTTTGTTCTGCCAGGATTGAAAGCAACGCGGTGTTGCAGTGGCAACGAACAGAATTACATTGCAACAATGTTCAAGCCCTAGGAGAAACGTTTTGCTAAAATTGATGTTCGAGTACAGTCAAATAGCCTTTGACAAAAAAATTAAAGACAAAAATACGGGGAAGAACGGTTATAATAAACTTTTCCTTCCTCCAGGTTGAAATTGTTGAAGCTCTACCCACTCGTACATTTTGCAACTATCAAGTTTAAAACGGACATATCAACAAAAATTAAAACAAACGTTTAAGACTTAGCTAACTGCTCGGTTTCTTTCCTTGTTAAACATTTAGGCTTTCAATGCCGCATATTCTAGCACACGTTTAGAGCCTTCTTTTTAATTTTAGAATAAACAATACAATTACCTTGAATTTAAGCAGCAGTGTGAGTAAGAACGTTTAATTTATATAGATTTAGCACTTGTTACTCGAGATAGAAATTATTATTAGAATCATAATTCTAATATTGATCACAATCCTAAACAATAACATAATAATAATAATAATAATAACAACATTTCATTCATTTTCGAAATCTTTGAAGATACATACTTTGCGTAAACAGGTACTCAATTTACTATGTACTTCAATGTTCGTAACTAGTTGGTCATAAATATTTGTTGTAAGAAAATATGAATGCAGACACTTCAGCCTGAGGGATATTCATTTTTAATGCAATATCACCAGTTCATTCCTTTTCACAAGAGAACTAGTTCTGAGACACATTTCTGTCGTACTTCGACCAAGTCACCGTTTGTGTAACAAGTAGCCAAAGAGGTCCTTTCTAGACAGTTTGTCGGAAGTCTGTCTAGCCAACAAGAGGGCGTTGACACAGTGACTTGCAGTCGATTTGTCACACGAAAGGAACACCTGTCTCCCCCACATTATAGCGACTTCTTTTTTTTTTTGAGGCAGAGATCATGAACGGGCCATTGCACCGCTTCGCAAAGGTACCTGCACCTCCAGCACCAGACTGCAGAACGCGGTAAAAGCGCCGTGTTGCGTGAGCAGGGTGTCTGCCACGTAAGAGCGCCCGCGCCTGAATTAAAAACGGGGAACATGTTTCGTTCAAACCGGAATGATCGGGCACCCACTTCCTTGGACCGTGCGACGCGAAGCCTTTTAAAGAAACGGAAAAAAAGAAAACAGCATCGGGAAGTGAAATTACGGTGAGTTCGGACAACGGCCAACATATTTGCCTTTCGTTTCGGGCCAGAACTGGAACGGACAAGTTGGCCACGCGTCTGCTACGTCTGTCAAATTCACTTCGCGAGATTTACGGTCGCGCTAATCCGCGAAGCACCGCCTCTGGCTCTTTACATTCACTTTCAACCGGTGGTTACGAACCATTCAGACGCATTCGGCCACCCGTAATGGACTTGCCGCCCCGAACGGCGGCGGCTGCGGCGAGAAAGGAAAAGTTCACGTTCGAGAATAAATGACCCGGTGAGGCGAGCGCGCGTTTCGCATCCAGCAACCAACGGATCCTTCCACCTCCGCGAAGAACATCGCGTTCGACTTCCCAACCCTTCGCCCTCCGTTCCTCCCTAATCGATCCAACGGTGTTCGACGCGCTTTGTGACAGCGCGGGGCGTTCGGGGGAGAGGCTCCGGGTGGCGGCTCCGCAACAAAAGCGACAGTTTCGCAGCGGCCGCGCCAGGGAACAACACGCGACAGAACTCGACCCTTTTCTACGGAAGCAACGGGGCGAAAGTGGCCGTACTGCAGCAACCCTTCCCGGAACGAAGGCTGGAGCAGCAGGAGCGCGCCCAGCGCCGTTCGCCCAACCCTTTTGTCGACAGAGGAATGGCGCGGCCGAGGGAGCGGGCGTCGCGCCCGACGGGGGGGGGGGGGGGGGGGCAGCGCTGGGTGCATTCCAAGGGCCCGACCGACCGGCCAGCACCTGCGGGTTAATGAGGGCCGCTGCTGCTGCTGCTGCTACCGGGTAAGGGCGAGTCAAGGGCCAACGGGGAAGGGCTCCCCGACAACGACAGACCGCCTGATAAAAAGGCCCAGCAGGATTCCCGAACGCTGATCTCTGCGTTCCTCGGTTCCTGCGTCGCCCATAACTAAAGGACCAAAGGGCTGCCTCCGCGCCGCTTTCGACTTCTTTCAACGTCGGCGACGGGACGTTGACGTTCTGAATAAGCAGCACGCCGTCGCATACGGACTGGGGCTTCCACGATTCTTCCCATTTAACGGCGACGACAATCGTGTATAAATAACGCGACGCATAAAAACAGTGGCGTTGATTCTGAAGCGGGGAGCGAGCACATTGGCTTCGCTCGAGACCGGTTCAATGCCACAATGAACTCGTGGCATGACTGCATCACCATTAGATAAGTCATTTACGTTTTGTTGTTATGAAGTCAGCGCGGTAACCCAAACACACCTACGAGGGTAACGATCTCACAAGAAAGCAATTATCACCAGACATGTTACCGAAATTACACCACGGGCTATGTAAACCCAAATTAATCATCTACAATACCTAATTACCACTTGGTTAAAAGAGTTCTGCCCCTCAACCACAATCTATGATTGCCTCTTTTTTTGGTAAACATAGCAACAAATATAAAGAGGCCTGTCAACACAGAATGATTTCTTCATCAGACCCACGCTGCGCTGTCAATACGCGATTCGAAACAAATTTTGAAAGAGGGCACAAATTACAAGTTATTAAGAGATCGATAGCAAAATTACGTCTCCTATTACATGATGTATTGTACACGTTGGTGTACCTGTAAGCGTACGTAATTATTTCACGAGAAGCTGTTATTAGTGACATTGAGAGCTGAAGTTTCCGTTGATAAAAATCATTTCAACACGCACGTCTAATCTAGTTGACCGAATGTGTCCGAGTCTGATCTGTGATCTGAAAAATGGGCATTCTGTCACAGCTCTGCAAACTTTAAACTTGCGATGTGAAAGCCAACAATCCCTCGTCTGTATGTCACAAAAACAACGTTACGTACTACACTACGCAGTTTGATTCCATTCGATATCCAAAATTGGAACTATTATATCGTTAGGTGAAGGAACAAGAGTGAGATGGAAATGGAGGGCTGCTGTGTCTAAAACTAAATGACTAGATCGATGTGCTTGCAAGTATAGTTACTGTAAATAAACTACTAATGAGCATTTTCTAACTGATCGCAGCAGCGAGTAGGTAATGACAACTAAGTAGATAGGATCGCAAAACGAATCGGGACGTAGGGCAAGAGATTTATCCGACTACCCAACCACATCCGTCCCTCACAAGACCGATACGACCAGCACTGCAGCCGTCGCAAGCACTCAGCAAGCTCGATCTCCCCGCCGAGCACAAGCTCAAGACAAATTTCCCGTCGCGCGGGCGGAGAGAAGTGAAGAGTAGTGAAGCGGCGAGGGTACCTGAGATGGATCCGCTGGTGTCTGAGCACGGGCCCTGCCGCCCCACGAGCGACGCGCCGGCGGGCAGCCTCATGCCCTGGTACTGCGAGTTGATGTCCAGGTCAAACAAGTCCAGGTCCACCTCGCCGATGTCGGACGAGCCGAGCGAGTGCGCGGGGCTGATGACGCCGACGAGGCTCGACCCGGGGCCCGAGCCGCCGGCGGCCCCGCCGCCCCCGCCCGACGCGGACGACGTCGACGACGACGCCGACCCGCCGCCGCCGCCCCCGGCGTGCGCCGCCAACCCCGACGACGTCACTTCCGGGGACGACTCGTCCCCCATCTGGTGGGCGGCGGCGAGACGCGGCGCCAGCCCCAGCACGCCCCCGGCGCCGCACGCCCACACGCTCGTCATCCGATGGCGCGCCAGCCCCGCCACTGTCCAGTCCGTGCCCTGCGAGCGCAGGCAATCCCGCTCCACGCCACACACTTCCTCTTCTTCCTCCTCCTCTGGTGTCAGGCGCGCACACGACGCCTCCGTCCCTTCCTACTCGCTGTCTCACACACACGCACGCACGCACACTCACGGGCGGCGCTATCGCAGGATCATATTGGGCGCCAGGTCAGCCCGCCGCCGCTGCGGCATCGTCACCAGCCTCACAACACGCGAGACCCACTCCAGCAGAGAGATTTATAAATTATACATGGAGGAGGAGCACCGAGACTAGAAGCCACCACGAAACAAAACGCTCGAAATCTATACCCACTCAAGTCACTTTTCTCCGCAGGCCGGGCTTTTCATTTTTCAATGTCAGAAACCTTCACGGCACGACAGGAACAAAACGAAGCCAACACTTCTGACCCGTAAGATAAAACCCCATTTACTCCTCTCTCTCTCCCTCGAGAGGCCACAATAAAAGCGTCACGACTTGGTCCACTGGATCCTCCTACTTCACCCGGCAGAGCGGGGCGGCCGGCCTTCGCGGTCGCTCGCTTGTGCGCACGCGTCGAGCTCACTGTCACTGTCACCCGCCGCACGTGTCCGCCGACCGAACGGCACGCATTCGCACCCGCAGCTCGGCTTCCGTCACGTGGTCGCGCTGTCCGTCGTCCCAAACTACTAATCCGTCGAGTGTTGCGTATTCCACAGCACCAACAGTCGATGGCCGCACTTTACCGTAGCCGCCTCACTGCACCAATCCTTTTGTCGCGAGCGTCACAATCGAGTCACCGTCACTTAAAACGAAACGTACACGACACAAAGCTCCGTCAATCCAGCACCTTGCTAGCACCGCACGCACCAGTTCCCGTCACGCTCGCGCACAGCAGCACCACCGACCTCTCCGCGGGCCCGTAGCGAGGCGACTAAACTCGAGAGCGTTTCAGGTGCAGATAAACCTCCACGTGCGGGAGGGCGCTGGTTGGCTCGCGGCCGGTGACGTCACGCCGCCGCCACCACCACTGCACTACCAGCGCGGCGGCGGCGGCGGCGGTGGCATGGGCTCAGCGGGGCGCTGAGGCTAGTGAAAGTCTCGCAACCACGGCGAAGACGCCGTTCGGGCAAACCGCACTGCGCCCGAAAACGCGTCCCCTCTGGTGACCTACAATTTACTTACTTAGGGATACGCAAGTGCTTAAAAATATTAGACACAATACGTCCGTGATACCTAACCAATGTATGTCTGTTACACACATTTTCAAGGATGGATATTAGACACTCACTATTATGACATCTTTCACGAACAAAACACGTTTTAAAAGAGTAATTGTATGCTCTCTTTCGAAGGACCTTCCAAACCCAAAGTGAATAATGATAATAAAGTTAAAAATTATTATAGGAAGGGACGCGAGCGACAGACTACAACAGTATATCTAGAAAGTACTGAACATAACGCTGGTCGTCAGTCATCACAACAATGCGTTAACTGTTTGGAGTCAACAATGCAAAACTATTACTCACACCACAGATACCACATTGGAACGTGAATGAAATTAAAACAATTGCATGCAGAATTTATGAACTTCTAATCTCTATAATATGCAAAATAATGTAGGTAATTTAAATGTTAATTCAAGAAAACGTCAGATCTCAAAGGTTGAATTTGTCAAAAACAGCAAAAATTGTGACTATGGAGGTTTAGTAAAATTTGCGCAATTTTCTTGAACTCCAGCACATCTTTCTTCTACTATAAACTTCGTAATTGAATTGCGAACAGAGCTATCAAGGAGCGTGGCTGGTAACATGAAAACTAAAAATATTCACTTCGTGCAATAGGAAATATTTACAATACAAATCCAAACGAACTACAGATTTGACTTTAAGGCAGTGCTCACAACACTACTTTCATCCTCGTGTTTGAAGTAATTAAAATTCATGAGTCCTCTATTAAATGCATTAAAGATGCATTTGATGAAGTACAGAAAATTGTCTATCCATTTAAGTTTCTCTTTTATTATTATTATTATTATTATTATTATTATTATTATTATTATTATTATTATCATTATTATTATTTTGCGAAAAACAACTAAATAGGACATGTCTGCACCCTCGGGATTATCACAAGGTCAAAACCAACAAACTAATATAGTTAATTGCAAGAACTTTTACAGTAGCAAACTGCAGTCATAATAAATACAACTCTCAAATGTAATTCTATTAAAAAAAGCGTGCAAAGTATATTAACAAGACACTTCGGGATAAAAAAATCTAACAGCAACAAGTACAGCAGCAAAACTAAAACTATTATTGTAAATTCACCGCGGAACGTTATGATTCACATGCAGTAAAAAAATCAAAATATATTCTTGGGGTGTGTCTAGCGAGCAAGCTACGGCAAAGCTCCCTTACGGTGTTTCTAGCCAATTGCAGTAATTAATAATGATTCCAGAAGTTAATGCACACTATGACACCAAAAAATAAAAACAACAAACCAAACAACTCACATAGTACCTAACGCAATGAACGAATAAACAAGGTATACTAGAATACTTAACATACGCAAGTTACTGTCTTCAATTAACTTGACCAATAGTACTTTTAATTGAAACCAAATAATTATTTTCTTACAAATTATTCCAGGAACTTGCATGTTTCGGGTAATGTGACCGACGGATCTGGAATACCACACGAGGGTTGGAAGAGCTTGCAGCATCCTCTACCAAAACCTTTTTGTCGCCAGGTGTCCTGCGCCTGTATGAACGAAGAGCTACCGAAATACTGCAAATCACATTTCTCAATCCTGTCACTTTCTTCGGATTTCGACCTTTCTCACAACAGGAATGCCTCCCTCCCCCCTTCCATGAAAGGTGATAAGATGTTCGATATAACGCTCTGCGCACTCTAGTAGTCGTTAAGGGACCTATTTCTGTGGCAAGTCCATTCTCCAAATGAAACTTCACGTACATATTATAAAGTTAAATGTAAGCGTTTTCTTTGTTCCCTTTCTTCAAGTTTCAAAACAAAAATACTCATACGATACGCAACAACTGTACAATGAGATAAATGCAGGTAAAAACTGTACCAAACTGACAGTATATAGGCCCACATAAACGCGCTTTCACTTGTTATTTCGGATCATAAACATTTGGCTAGATTAGTTTTCATAAATTTAGTTTCGTCACTTGTATTCTGGTCGTGCAGAAGTTTCTTCACTTCGATCCAGTTGTTCAACAAAAAAAGCGCAGAAACGCACCATAAAATCCCACTTAACGACATGAGATAAAATGTTACGCCCATCCTTTTAGTGAGAAGAGTTTGCCACAGAGTTCATTAGAAGCTAATTACGATTCAAATGCTGACGGACAGGTCAGCACAGAAATGCATACCTAGTTGGAAATCGTGCACATGCGTTAAAACAGTGCGTACAATACTACAATACACATTCAGGAGAATAAACATTATTTTATCCCGAAGAAGCTTTATCAAAGTACTCACAAATATACATTATTGATAAATAAATTATCTGCAATGGACAAGCGTTCCAAACAAGACAATTACGTACTAGCATGAAGACAATGTAGTTATATACTGCGTAAACGAAAAAGAAAAATACTGTTAATCCATATTTTAATTTGATAAAGGTGTAATTTTCACTCATTTCAAAGAAATTAAAATAATTATAATAAAGTGGTACTGATCAATACACGCGCAAAGTGAGCAAAGTAATCGACTTACTCCAATCTCCTCCTCCTCCGGGCAAGACGCCTACGTAACCGCAGCCACTTCCCCGCCCTTTTAAGTAACACGTTCATTTAGTTAATTTTTTTTAGCGTAAAGTGAATCCTGCGGGGACGAAGCGGAAACCGGAATTTCAGGTTTGTCGCAGCGGCATCGAACTCGGTGCCCGCGCCCCGTCCGCAGTCGCACATCGGTCTTCAGCCCTCCCACGCACGGCCAACTTCACAAAATGATGGTAACCTGTGTGCCGTGGCCCCAGAGAGAAAATATTTTTAATAATTTGGTTAATGCATGGAGTTATGAAAGTACAATGAATTATCTTTTAGCTCTATGGATTAATGGCCGCGACTCTCTACAGTCTTCAGTTGTTCAATAGTTTATGTTTCAGGCAATTGTCTCTGGCTATTGTTGGCGCGTTAGTGTGTCGCTGTTTTTGTATATTACATTTAATATTTCAATGTTTCTTATTTGTACGTCTTGGACCCACCGTTCTTTGATATAAATAAATGTGTGAAACTTGTTGCACTAATTCAAACTCAATATTATTTGTGTGTTCGAATGTTGCACCTCGCACATAAGAAATAAGAAAGCACCCGAGAGAAATATGTATATAGTGGCATAAGGATTTAGTACACTTAAGTTATTTTACGCACAATTTGGCTTCAATAGTAGAGCCAACAATTGTTATTTGTACACGAATTTTCAAAAAAATAGTTATGAGTCGTAAGTAGATGTACTAAAAGAATAAAAGTAGTCACGTTATACTTCCATAACAATGATTGAAACATGCAAACCTAACAATTGTTTCTGACAAGAAGACAGCTGAAGGGTGAACAGAACTTGGACCTGAGGGTCAAACAATAAAAGAAGAGTAATACAGTTAAGAGTTTTAGAGGAAATATTATAAAAGGTAAGTACCGGAAGGTTAGGCGGTGTAGTTTTAATTATTAAAGGAATTAAATTTTTAATGGACGTTATTTCTGGAACATAGCTACTATTCAATTTATATATTTCTTCCATTTAGTTAACTTTCCTTTTTAAAATGTTTGAAAATTAAACATTTCACCGACCTTCTTGTAAATCTTTCTCGTATGTTCTCTTTCATACCAATGAAATTAAGTATTTTACAATAATGCTCCCGAATACTTAAGTTACAAAGTGATAAGATAATATTACGAAATTGGATTGACATCATCCATATTCCATTTTAAGAGAATTACCTATCGGTGTTTAGA